ACATCGTTCAAAAAATTGCAACGGCATTCTTTTAAGGTTCACATGAACAATAAGCAACATTTTTTCCCCCAAAGCTGGAGACGAGTGACGCGTGATTCACTTCATACCACCTCTTACTACAGGTCACGCATGTTGACGAGACACGCACTGCAGATTTCAAATAGCATTTTATTGCCAAAACTACTGACGAGTGATGCGTTCGTCTTCTTGTGTTTTCAAAATTTTGAAAGACCGGAATCCTCCCCCCTCTCCCCACCCCTTAAAAACACGGCCAGAAACTCTCAACTTCGACGCTCGTAGTTGCCACTTAATCCCAATCAAAACCTCCCTCCTTCTGATTACTAATTGTTGGAGTCTGATCAGCAAAGTTAAACTGTAAACCAAGCCTTTAGGTCTGTTCCTTTGACGTCTCCATCATCAACCCGTCCAAAGACTAGCTAGGCGAGAAGGACTGACCTAGATGGACCTGATCAGAATATTGTACGCAATCAACACATGGACAGAGAGTCGGATGGTCCTGCGGGGATTAAAGAAAGGAACTCTGCGACTGATTTTAAATTAATGCTCTCAAATATATTTTTAAGCTGACGCCTACAAAGGAAAAGCATAAAGTTTTCAAAATAAATACTTCATAAAGCTCTACTAAAGAATTATTGACCTTATTCCTATAACTTGAAATTTATCTGTGCAAGCTCAAATAGTGAAGATAAAATCTGAATTGAACCCCGAGTCAAACACTCAGAAAGACTAGCTTCATGTTGTAAGGCGCCGGTCATTTTTTATCGCCTATGGGGGGGCTGGAGGATTTTGGTTGTCTCACGACTTAATTTACCTGCTTCCCCCATAATATACTTATGATTCCTCATTGACAGCCAATCGGCGGTCAGTTTTCTATAGTCCCCATTAAAACCCTGTTAGCGACAACTGATCAGCCTCCGTTCACTGAAAACCATGTAAATCCCATCCCCCATCCCCCGTCCCCCATCCCCCCCCTCAAAAAAAAAGAAGATGAATCGTCCCTCCCCCGGTGAAAAATAAAGTGTCTGGTCTCTTAAGCTCTTCATATAACTCAAATTTGTTTGTCTTTGAAAAAATTTACTCGTGCTTATTTATTCCAAATTGAACCCGAACTCATGCGATCACCTCTACAAATTCAAATTGGTTAGCATCTCGTCGACTTTGATTGCCTCAGCAGTAGATGTAGTTCCAGCATCACTTATATCATTGCTACAAAAATTCAAATTGGTTAGCGTCTTGTTGACTTTGATTGCCTCAGCAATAGATGTAGCGCCGGCTTCACTCATACCATTGTCAGACAAATCCAAATTGGTTAGCGTCTTGTTGATACCACTGCTACACAAATTTAAATTGGTTAGCGTCTTGTTGACTTTGATTGCCTCAGCAATAGACGTAGCGCCGGCTTCACTCATTCCACTGTAATACAAATTCAAATCGGTCAGATTCAAACAAGTTCCAAAAGAATTTGCTAACCGTGATTGAAAATCACTCTTTTGTTCTTCACATTCGTTAATGGCCTCCAATACAACTTTTAAACCACTGCCTTCATTTTCGTTGACTTCATTTGTTAAACTCTGTACAGGAGCCACGACTTGTTCACGGCATTTCATGGCTAAAATTCCGCACGAAAACAAAAGTACCTCTTCAAGTTTAACAAAATACCTTGGATCGGAGACTTGTTCGAAGAATGCTGTAAAGAATTCTTGAAAACTTTTATGCAAGAAATCCAAATTCAGTCAAGTCTTTTGCATGGTTTCCCAATTCACTTTCATTCAAATCCAATTTGTCGTTGAGTAAACCATTCAACGCTACTAACCCGAAGCGATTCAATTGCGGTTTGTAAAGATCTGTCAGTTCTTCTTCCCTTTCTAATAGTCCCTTCTTTTTTTACATTTTCTCAAGACACATTCAACCATATCCAAGTACAGTTGAGCTAAATCGTGCCTTTTTTTAAAGTACTTGGTGACAAATCCTCCCACATGGTCTTCAGTGAATCCTCCGATCTGAAGCAACGTGTCACAGCATTTGCTCACCTCTTTCCCAGCTTCTTGTCTTCCTGTTGCAACTATTTGGCATCTGGGGAGTAGTCTTTCTTCAATTAATTCGGAAAAAATCGATAATTTACTGGATGGTTACTCATCCAATCCATCCAATATCAATAAAATTATATTTTTGTGTGACTTCTTTATCGATTTCTTGCGGGGGCAGAAGCTGATCATCAATGGCCTCCCAACATCAGAATTCATTTCTCGACATTTCAGCAACAATACTTCTTTGAATGCTGTGGTACCACGCAGCAAAACATTTGAACATTAGGGCATAACGTTTTACTGATTTAACCAAATGTTTGTCTCAGTAATATAACTCTTAATTCGTACACTCGAAGCGTGAAATTGAGGTCAGGATATTGAAACGAAAGCTATCCTCGATCACAAGCTTTACTCTGTCCCAGTTAAACAAAACACTAAATCAACTTGTTCACAAAATTTTTCGCTTGCCTATAAGTTGGAACTCAAAGACACCTGAATGCTTGTGTAGTAAGTATTGTATGTCGTACCCTTAAACGTTTCTTCGATCGTAGATTAATGTATTTTGTGTACAGCTGAAGAAACTACTTGCGTTTAATTTTCATTCAGCTTCGGACCTAACTTAACCGTTGCTTGTGTGATTCAAGTTTTGCCGTTTTGACGATCAGAAATGATATTGACTTCAGGTGGCTTTAATTTGAAGAAAAAATGAGCGTTAAAACGGATTACCAAAAGGTGAAAAAATTTAATAACTCAATAATTCTATTCGCTCTTGTTTCTGACTTTTCTGAAATTTTGATGTCTAGAAAAGCCAAAGAAGTATCGAAAATTTGCCAAGTATATTTCAAAGCCAGGCGAAATGAGTTGATAACGGTTATTAATTGAGTCAGCTCATCTCTGGTAGAGGAGGTGGCGTTGATACAGTCGTCGATGTAGCGACCGTAGATTTCAGGTTTGGGGCCGTTGTATTGACTGAAAAATTGGTGTTCGATAAAACCTACGAAACAATTGGCGTAGCTGGGTTCCATTTTGCTTTATTAAAAGCAATTAACTTTTCTACCCCGCATTTTTTACCCCATGGCTCGGGTGTCATCTTTCCTTGAATGTTTTCTTCAATACACCCATTTCATTTACATAACGATAAAGCAAAAAGACCAGAGTGTCTATTAAGAAGCTTTTAACAAATCCTATTTTATTCCAGCGTCAATCTGAACTACATATTAACCTAGCAATTTTTTTCTGCTTCGTGAAGCCTCTGAGTTTGGGTTTGAGTTTGGGTTTGGGTTCGATCAAATTCTTGATCCACATATTTTTTAAACACGTGGAATTCAACGTCTCCCTTTTACTTTCTTTGGCTACACAGGTTTTCTGATGGGGTCAATTTTTAAATCTAATTGACAGAATGAACCGACAGGAATCTAGAGGTAACATTTCATCTGTACAAGCTCATTGGTCAAGTCGTGCAGTAAATTATTCCATAATTTCCTGTTTCTGACTTGTTGGATACGAGATCGGTATAGCCAGTTCATATCAGGCGCGGGCTCATGGAACAACTGTTAAATATAGTGTGCATATTATAATAAGTATATACAGTAATTGTACGAAAGACAAAGGTTCTTTGATTACGGCTTATTATTTTATTTTCTTATCCTCTCCAGGCTACTCGAGAGAGCACTAATGATTTAATAAACATCTCCAGGGGTAAAACCTGTGCATTTTAATGGATAGGTGTTAAAATATTATCACACTTTCGCGACATGCTCCTGATTGTGGCGACAAATCCTAGGAGATAAAGTTATTTACCTGCAAATCAGATCTTAAAATTTAGCTTCTTGTGGTCTTACCATACCATGTATTTCACAATTTCTCTACATTTCGTTTCCCGTAGAAAATTTAGGAAATAGTCATTTCCCTCTGGGCAAAAATCTTCAAAATTTTATATACAATTTTCAGCAAATTCATCTCTCAAAGCTAAGACGATTGCACAAGTAATGTGCCAATTATAATTTTTATTAGGATAAGGCTAATTTTTAATTAATAATACTTTCAGTGTAAAAGTATTTCGAGTTAGTATCGCAGGTAGATGCGGTCTACTTAGGGAAAGCAGTTTATGTGCCGGATAGCTTTCCTAAAACCAAGCGGGTTTTGCGGCAAAACAATTTTTTAGCAATTTACTAAAAAATGCAGACAACTACGGCACACAGAACGAGATCTCATCAATCTAGTTAATTGGATATTTTCCGCACTATCCTGCCTTTCAGAATTGAGTCAGAAAATAAACTGAACTCCAACGCTTGTGTCGAGCATGCGTGTAAGTGCTAAACATGTAAAAGAGAAAACGAGAGTATACTTTATCGGTAAACTGATAAAAGCGTTACAGCGTTTAAGAATATAAAATCAATTGAGTTATAACGTTCCAGCCTAATTGCTTAACACAAAATGGCTTTTTCTACCAAGTAAGCGTGTGAGGAAAAGATGATTCAGCCCTGAAACTTGTTGTGGCAAAGTGTTCAAACTATTAGCCGGTCATATACCGCGGAAATCTATCTAACTACACCATTAAATCCTCGACGTTTGCATACAACTGCTTGTCGTACATTGTCATGTTGATCAGCTTCTGCAGAAAAGAATAATATAATAATTGGCATCATTAAAAAAGTGTTCCTCTTACGTTATAAGCGTTTATCCTCCCAAGTGGTCAGCTTTTCACACCAAAACAAATTCAAGAAAGTATTTTACGGTGTCGTTTGCTGCTCTTTATGCGTCTCAATACAATTTTGCAATAATCCTACCATCTTTGAAATAACCATAATGAGTCAATTGTCGTAAGGACATTCTAGTTCGCTTCCTCCTTGTTTTTCGTGGAGTGCTAGCTTCAGTGACATAACAAGAAGATGCAATCCCAACTTCGTAAAAAGTACGCTATCCAAGCTAAACGCTATTAAGTTTAAAACCCTAATTAGCTAAGCCTAAGTTAGTCGGTCTAACGTGAAAAGAAACTTTCATGTTGAAGAAAATTCTGACCTTGTGTAGGGTTTCCATGTCCTTAAGCTGATTTTTCAATTCAGTAAAAGTTGGTCTTGCATCTGGGTCATTCTTCCAGCACTTCATCATAATCTGATACCTGGTATTGTTTAAATGATCTGTTAGAGATTTAAGGAACGTTTCCTTGTAGGATGAGAGAGAACGAATTGAAAAAACACTTACAATTCCTCATCAACGTGTTGTGGTTTAGGCATCCTGTATCCTTCCTGCAGTAAGTTTGCAATTTTTCTTCCATCCATTCGTGGGTAAGGTGAACCACCTGGAAGAGCAATAAGACCATCGAAATATAAATGTGACGAAAAAACGACCTTCACTGAAACACCACCCATGTCATTTGATGTAGTTTGAAGCTCTTTACGTTTGTCTAAGTGAACACCTTACATTGCATAATTGAACATGGTATATAGCAAAAAACATATACAGGGCCTTATAAATTTCCATTCGATGTTACCTATGGTAAAAATCTCGTACAGCAAAACTCCATAACTCCATCTGCAGAAAGACAAATCAAACAAATATATATTGGGTGACTGAAGACATAAACATTTTATACGACAACTAAAATATATGTATTCTTTGACAAAGCATAGAATTCATGTCCTGATTGAAACTGATAAAACTTAGAGAAAGATGTTTTTCGTCTTGTCACGATTGTGGGACGAAGGAAAAATTTTGAGTCCCCACGAGGAATTGAACCTCAGACCTTCGGATTCCGCGCTCCGATTCTCTCTCTTATTTTTATTTACAAACATGACTCTATCGACATTGCTGATCCTTGCAATATGCAAGAGAGTAGAGTCGTAGAGTCTCTGTGGCTCAGTGGTATGAGCATCGGAGCGCGGAATCCGATGGTCTGAGGTTCGATTCCTCATGGGTAGTGAAGAATATTTTCATTGTCCAACGCTCGTGAGAGGATGGAAAACATCTTTCTCTATTTCTTTTACCGAGCCCAAAACTTACCCTTCCTCTTATTCTATTGGTAAAACTTGTTGGAAAATTGCTACGGGTAATAATCGGGTATACTTACACATCACTTTTGGTGGTATATTTACCATACATCAAGGCCTCATAAGCTGTCCACTTCACTGGAAGACGGCCCTAAAGATTTCAATTATCACTTTTGAAACAGCTAAAAAATTATTGGAAGCGACTGGTCAAAGACAGTGATATTTAAAATTATACTCGTATACAAATGGCTGTTTTCATTATGGTCCCATCCAAGGATTTTGTCATCGAAATCAGGAGTATATCAGCTTTATCACAACAATGATTGTGAAAGATAATTGAACTGAACGATATATAGTGCCGCCCCCACCTCCCCTCTTTCTTGATTACCTTAGTCTTACGTTCATAAATATTTTCCTTCTGCACATCTCTGGCCATTCCGAAGTCGGTCACTTTACAAGTTTCCTTTTGTCCAACCAACACATTACGAGCCGCAAGGTCTCGGTGAATGATCTAAGAAAGCATTGATACGAGAGCAAAAATTAGCGATTTCAGAAGAAAAAGAACTGAAATGAAATGATTCAGATAGGAAAATAGAAATATCCAGCGACATAATATGGTGTGTGTATTTCTCTTTCTTCCAGACGGCAGAAAATTAAAATTACTATAATTACTGCTCCATATTACAAAGGGAAGCAAACTACTTCATTTCTGCAATACCTAATTATTTCATAGAGAGCTTATCTTAAGATTTTATTCGAAATAGGATTCTGTAATGTAGCAGTTTAGCAACCAAAGACGAATTTTTTAATTTCAAGTTTTAATTCCTTTTCTTTCTTGTCACTAAAATGGATATTCGTTGTACACTCAGTTTAGACTGAATAAAAGATCCTATTCATTCACATATCTGCCTTTGCCTACACGAGAAAAACCCAGATATTTAATATCGATGAGGTACACTTGCAGCGACGCACAAATATCGCCATTCGCACACTGAAATATAACTTTGGTGATGACGTCAAAACTGGTAGGGTTCCCGGAAACAGCCTCAACGAGACGGTAAGAATACGTTTGCATATCCCGGACGTGATCTTGTGAAGACATATTAATCCATGCAAGACATAGCTTCACATGACGATACACCTTACAAAAAGGTTTTACAATTGTTCTTCTTTGGTGCCTTTTTAATTAACTTACAGATTTTGAGGACAAATAACTCATTCCATCAGCAATTTGCCAAGCAAACTTCATCAGCTGCTGTGACGTCAGATTTGTTTGTGGTTTGATATCCGGGTCTTTGAAGTAAGTGTCTTTTTTAATCCACGGCTCTTTCTCAGGTAACCCAGCAGATCCCCAAAAGGCACATATTCAATCAAAACCAGCAGCTGTTCTGAAGAAATTAAACAGTTTCATTTATATATTTCTCCTCTAAAAAAAATTAGCAATAAGTAAAATAAATAAATAGCACAGTCAGGTTCAATACTTTTGAAGAAATCGCACGAAAACAAGATGTAGTTTTTACGAAGAAAAGCTGAAAAACTTTGTAACGGTCTCATAAGAAGATACAGGCCAAATATTCCCTTAGAAAAACGATTCTGCTCATACAACAGAATGGCTTGTACAATGGCAAATATTTGGTCTTCGTCTATCAGCAAATCCAAGAGCGTCGCTGTTAGCTAAAAAAGGATAAAATTACCATATGCGATGGTTTGTTGTTGTGCACGATTGTGAAGCAGTGAATCTTCCATTGAAGCAAATTATCAATGACGAGAAAGCGTTACGGAGTAAATCAGATGCAAAATGTGTACAGCAAAATTGGACCTCATAATCAAAGCTTACCAGATTCTGTAACGCATCCCAGAAGTTTAATGACATAAGGATGTGGTTTCAGCTGCTTCATTGTGTCAAGTTCTTTCATCAAATCTCTCTTGTCCGATTCAGTAGCGTTTGCTGGAGCGTTAAAAACAAGGAGTAAAATTTGGTTAACGGAAATAATATGCAAAATGTCGAATAGCGACACAAGTTATCGAATGACAAATAGCCAAAAGTTACGTAACCCGGTAACAGTATATGACTGTAGGCCAAGACTGTCATTCAATTTACAGTTCAAGAACTCACTTTTAAGCATCTTAATAGCCACTGTGGTCGCTTCCAGGACTCCCTCGAAGTCCTACTGCTGTTCCCTTGGCAACCTGACCAAAAGCACCTTTACCAATAATTTTTTTCTATGGTCACGTGGTGTCTTGAAACTTCCCAGCAGCGTGTTAACGGGTGAAGAGGCACGTAATCAGCACCTGAAGCAGTACTTTGTGCTTTTCTATCATGTTTGTTGACTTCTATGAGATCCATGTATTCCGCAGGAGGCTGGGTGAATTTTGCTGAATCGGGTAGACTTGGTTCGCTATCTTCTAATCCTGTTTCATTCTATTAAACCAACATACCGTTTAAGTATTCATATACAAATCTGTTATTAATCCCAATAAAATTTCCTACATTTTCATAAAAAATCAGTTTACCCGTTTTCATCAGACAAGCCTTTATATTATTTCATAACAAGAGATTATTAATAGTTTATAATCTCTTGTCCTTAAATATTACTAATATTTATTATTACTAACACTTTGTTCTCTGCCATTGAAACTATCATGTCCAATGGAGTGATCGAGGTTCATAGCATATTCGTTGAAGCTACAAACTGCAACATGAAGATCGTCGATTGGTAGTGCAATTTTGGACAAATGCACACACGAAAAAAAAAAAATCTTGCTGTACTAAGCTCCTGGACTAACGCTTTGAAAATAAGTCATCAAGATAAAGAGACGGCCGCAACGGCGTGAAAAAAAAATTATTTACAAAACAAATATCAACCGGGTGCAGACCAGTTTGCGATCTATGAAGTGAAACCACGCAGTTGAACCAGGGACAACCGAAGGAAAATCGATGGAGCAGCTTGGTAAAGGACATGATCCCAGGACAAAGATCCTATCGAGTCAAACTTCTTCCTATATTTCATTGTACCTGTCATTAATGCATTATGCCTTTTTGGTAGAACTACACCTTTTTTCCTTCCTATTTGTTGCAGGCGTTTATTTCCTTCTAGAGATTAGAGGTAAAGTGAGATTACATAATTACTGGCCACACTAACATGACCTCAATGTCTTAGCTGTAACTTACGTAGGAAACACCTCTTTCATCTTCATAAGTCCTACAATTGAGAAAGCATACAAATGTTTATGAAGAGCTGAGAATCTCATCAGTTTTAAGTGGAAGTTTGTTATGAGATTATACCATATCTGGTACATTACATCGACACAATCCAAGTGCCAGTAAATTCTTACCTCTGTTTCCCTACGGCGCCTGAAAAAAAGAACGAAAGGAAAAAAGACAAATGATGTGGATGTGGGTCAAGATTTGCTTTTGCTTAATAAAGAATCTTGCAGCCAAACCCTCTGTCATAGATTATGAATTTTTACCTACCTTTCTTATGTAGCCAGATTATGTAAATAATTAGAAGAACGATTATGAAGGCAAGAACCCCATTTATGGCTAACGAGACGTTGTTAGATGGGCAGTTACATTCCTCAGGACCTAAAATGATTCATTTTACAAAGCTTGATCAGGTAACATTCAAACAACATTTACAGTGATCGTGGTCAGTACACTGCTCTCACTACCTAGCTTGCGCTCATAAACGAAAACCGTTAACTCTAATTGGCTAGGTACTAAGGAAAAGCAAGGTGCTACTCTCTCTATAATAATTTTTTAAAAGAAACATTTTGTTCGATTGAATAAAACAACAACAGCGACAAAAACACAACTTAGAAATATGTGACTCACAGGATTGAGTTGTTTAATTAACAGATACGGAATACAGTTAGAAAAAGTCCATCTTCGGGACGAATACGTGTAAACATTTAACAATAATATTTCTTTGTAAAAGGTACCTTTCGTTGTGCTTTCCGAGTCGTCTGCGGGCATAAAAACTTGTTTAATTGATTCTGGATCGACTTTAAAACCTCCGAATTTGCCTTGCCTCGCAGCATCCAACAGGACAGTCAAAACACTGCTGACGACTACACTTCGATTGAACCTCATCATGAAGTCGAGAACAACACTGCCACACCTAGATAAGGGGAGAAGGATGTAAAATGCCGAATCGAACACCGTGCCGAAAAAGAGTAAGACGCATTCAAATGTAGATTATTTTGCATTAAAGAAGATTTTTCAGAGCAGAGACACCAGTTTAACGCTATAATACGCCAAACTGAGATAGAGCTCCTCCCCGCCCCAAAACACAGATTGCGTTACCATTTGTTGTTTCAGTGTCGAGACAAACTGCACCTTACCTGGTGTTCACGGTGTTGGCGGATGAGCAGCCAAACTTAGAGGCAATTTGACAAGCCTAGAAGGACATTTGAAGAAAAAAATGTAAATTCGAATACTTGTTTCATAGTTGAAGATCGTTCAGAATGTAATTTTTTTTAAACAGAAATATTGAGATTTCGTTCAAGAGCAGATTGATTAAGATTCCCTTTTGATTATAATGATAAATCTTATGACAGTATTATGTACACTCCGGTACACGGATCAAGTAGATTATCTAACCATTTCTGGAAATTTCGCAGCAACTTCTGAACGTCTGCTACAGTTCCCCTGTATCATCGCTGTCAGGTAAACTTCTGTGCTTTCTGAAGTTAAAGGAAGGCCGTGTCCTTTACGTTTACAAAAAACATGAAGAGTCTTGATTCTCAACAACTGCTGAGAAGTGGTTCTATCTTGCAATAATTCAGCTTGAACATTGTCCCAGCAGAGATCGTTCTGACAGAGTGTGCTACTGAGCTCGAGAGTAAACTTATGTTTTAATGCACGCAATAGTATAAACATGTAACGATTAGCCTTGTTCACAATGTTTTGTTATTTGATACAGAAACTAGTAACATGTGTAAGTAGGCCCACAGAGGGATTGAATTATATTTTTGAACGAATACTATGGTTCATTCCCCCAAACCCACTTGAAAAATAGTTTTGCAGAGCCTCATGAATCATGTTATTTGTGTTTGAAGATGGCCAGCATAATAGGCCTCAAAATATTGGAAGGAGTCTTAAGAGAAATAAAAAGAATACATTTATACATCTATAATTATGCTTATTCTTATTCCTTCCATAGTGGAAGGTACAGCCTTTCACGCCTAAAGATATTTTGAGTCGTGCATGACACCTGACGAGATTCACATAATCGTATAAGTTTGCCTTTGATGAAAGGTAATTACGGAATAGTAACAACTTTGCAAACAAGTATTTCAATTTTTGATATAGATTTAGCAGTCTGTGTTATGACTGTTTGTAAGTCTACAGTCCTTCGCTAAATTCCAGACCCTTAGTGACTTAATTCACCCTTGGTCTTTTACTCAAACTCATTTCGTAACACCAAAGCACATGCTATTATGATGATATAGTTTTACATGGTGGCAAAGAAAAACGCCTATAAAAACAGTTACCTGCAGGAGTTGTTTGGGATGAAGTGGCAACTGTACTTGAAACTGTTTGAACTGAGGAAAAACAAAATACGACTTAAAATGATCGACAAGCAATTTTAAATTTTACGTAATCATCATACCAACCTCAAACCACATGATAATAATAATACCTTAGCTTAAATTTTTTTTTTTTTCACGGAGGTTTAGGGTATGATAGACTATACTTCCTAAAACTTTTATTATTACTCATATCATTGTCATCAATATTATTATCATTGATACTATTATAATTATTATCATTGTAAACACTACCACTAAAAAAAAGGACCCAAAATGTCAGAACTACAGACAGGTCCATAAAATCTTAGAAACAAAACTGACCTTTCAGTGTTAAACTCAATTAAAAAAATATCAATGGACGGGGCCAAGTTTGAAATAAAATGTCAAGTGATAAAGTGTCAAGTGTTAATCTGTTAAGTTTATGCATGTTGATAATTAATTTTATTTAATTTTAAGATGGAGCCTAATGGTTTCTTCTAAAACCAAGAAAAAGCGCATATCCAAGTAAAATGGACAAGGTTTTCTAGCGCCAGGTTCGCAGTGTTAAACTTTGCGTGCAGAAAACGTTAACTGATCGAATTAGGCCAGAGACCAACGGCTGACTTCAGATCGCTGCATTAGGTATGTACCTCGCACCAATCAGATTGCCGCATAAGGGTTTGTATCTCGCACCAATCATATCACATTATTTGGATAACTTGCACCAATCACAGT